TTATCAACAAAGTTTTTCCAATTTGATTAAATCGAAATGAAATTGTCGTATGGAAAACAACAATAAAAAATTTTACTTGCATATTGGGAAAAATAACGATATTACGTATGCATGTACAGTGAATGCAAAAAATAAACGGACTTTTTACTGTAAGCTGTGGCAAATAATTTGAGCAGTTGCTGATGAATATTGAGTGCTGTAGTATAGATAAATATAAAGCCTACTTCAAGGAAAGCAGCGAACGATTGTATGAGATAATTTAGTATTATCTGCCAGATAAAACAACACTCAAGACATGATTGAGTCGTGCAAGTTACTTTATCAAGGCAAATCTTCAGTGAATTTTATTGTCATTCATGAAATTAATGAGATTATTTATAAAATATACACTCTCGTTCTGTAATCAGTGAAGCCTCGCATATGGGCGTTAAGTTGTAATTTAGAAAAATATGTGTTCTTGGAATACTTTAGAGGTGAGGAAATAAACGTGGTCGTGAGTTTTCAGAAGGTACAAACTAAGATCAAAATGTAAGAATGGATCAAAGCTCACTAGCAGTATCATCAAGCTACTTCCATATTAAACTTGCTTGGGTGCCTGGTCACAGCGGAATTGGCGGAAATTGTAAAGCCGATGAGCTTGCAAGAAAAGGTACCTTACTCAAATTCCATGAGGATCGGAACAAGCAGGGTTTCCCCTATCCTTGTGCATTCGGGCACTGGACTTATCGACACTTGGAAAGTAGACTGCTTTAAAAAAGAATTAAGGAGTCCATAATAATAATAATACCAAATCGATTTTGCCGGGAATTTAATACTTCAAAAAATTACTTCAAAATAAAAGTAAAGAAATTAGAAATAATGATATCGTGAAATAGATTTCTCTAGAGGATATTCTTTAATATAACTCTTTGAGGCCGTAGGTTATTACATAATTGATAAAGTGATTCGGTAATAAAAATATAGTTCAGGTAAAACTTATTTTTGTCTGCTATTTGGTTGATCTACATGATTTAAGTCTCAGAGGGTACAAGGATTCGGTGTATCGAGCTCTGGTTGGATAAAAATATGATACTCCATTTTTCACTTATTTTAAACTCATAGTATCTTCGACTTCAAAATCTGATGGTATTTTTCTCTCTTATTACTTCTACAAAGAACTCGTTGTGACATTGTGTTAGGAGTCTGGAAAGTCCAAAGACATCATCTGTCCGCTTTTTCTGCAGAATGTTATGGCATTTCGCAATCTTTATCGTTCTAAATTTTACTCTCTGCGTCAAATCGATAAATTGAGCATATTTGCATCTACTGTACCGCCATTATAAGCATTAATTCCATCAATGTGGACAATCACAAAAACACCTACTACAGCAGATGTAACACAATAAAAAAGAAACCTTACAAATTACGTGCTCAATGAAAGGCGTCGAAAGCGATAATTGCGTGAAAAAATTTCCATGCAAATTACAAATCGGCAACGTGGGCCAATAAATGAAATGTGTGTAATAAGCGTGTGTACATAGCAGAACACAGCATAGCACTACATAGCATAGCGATGGTAGATTGTAAAAGCAAAACTATGCGCATTTACCTGAAATGGTTATAGGGAATGTGCGTCACAGCAGCAGGAGTGAGGCGACAAGCAGAAGTGGCCGCCTACGGCTGACTGGATCTGAAAATTGCAAAGCAGAAAGCAAAACACCACTACACTTTGCTCCAGCAAAAAGCAATGGACAGCAAACATATTGCGGTTGACGAGGAAAATGACGTACAGAGCCCAAAGAAATATTTGGCGAATGAAAATTGTAAGGGGTCAGGTGACATTTTTAAATTACCATGTCAGCACTTGTCGGACAGCGTCGACAGGCGAATTATGAATGTAAAAAGCCATTTGATAGAGTAAGTTTTGAAGAGCGAGAGGGATGGTAGGATGACAAAGAAGGGCATTGCATGCCATGCAGGTCGAACGCTGCGGCGTTGGGTCCAGCGTTTGGCAACCGGTAAGAGGGCAACTGGCAAATGGCAATGAATTACTTACATTGGCAGGTGCTTGCTTGCATTTTTAACTGTGTGCGTGGTGGCGCATATGTTTCCATGTATAATGCTCGTGTTGGACCTTATCAGTCGAATTGCCTGCATCAGCCCACAAGCTGGTGAATGATGGCTGCAACACCTGCTCTTCGCTGCAATAGCAAGTCAGTGGTCAGTGACCAGCGCTGGTACTGCAGTGCTTGCGTCACGTGTGCGTGTGAAGCTTTTGTAGCGTACAAATTGCAACAGCAGGGACGCCGTTCGCTCCAAATACCGGTGGTGGTATATTTGGAATTTATGTCATTTGCATTTCCCTTGTATAAGGCAATTTTCTGATGAACGATCTTTTTACTTGCTGTCTCATGCATGCACTCTACATCGACTAAAGCGCGCACACAACCACGACCCCAGAACGGCACATTTATGGTGTGCAGTCACTTACGCTTACGTATGTCTATCACGTAAGTGTGTGTTGGAAATGAAAAATGGTTGCAACTATTTTATATGCAGCATTCTTGTGGCTACAAAATTGCACTCAATATAATTTTATTAAAGAAAGCTTCGAAAGTGACAGCCATTTATATAAATATAAGCGGCATACAGCACCAAGCAGTAGTGACACCATTGTGTTGGACAATTTCAGATACGAATTTTATAAGATTTTCACATATTTTTTTTTACATTTCGTAGATGTAGTCTGGTAGGCTATGCCATCATTGGAATTTTGAACTTTTACTCTTAGTGAAGAAGACGGTTAAAGCTAGAAGGGGAAGGTTAATGCGATGCAGCGATCCATGACAGCCGAGAGTATGGTACATCTTACATGAGAAGACTTCTCAAATGGTTTCAACGTTCCATTTCTTCAACAAAAGAAGGACTTCTTCGATTTGAAGAAAACCCCAACTGTTATCAAATTATGTTTGCCTTATTATATCTAATCACTTTCACAAAGTATATAGCCTTAAATGCGTCAGCTTTCATAACTTTATCCAACCACCAAATCCTATTAAAATTAAATAATTTATGGGTTTCATAAGCTATACAAATATTAACATACTGATTGGATAAACCTTACAAATACATACCTTAACTATTATTATCCAAATAGATTTTTAACGGGTCTGGCAACACGAGGCCGAGTGTTGTCGTTAATGGTTTCAGCCGGTTTTAGTAGCTCATAATACAGCACGCCGTACTGATCGCACCAAATGTAAAGTATTACCTTGGCGTCATGGCTATTGGATTTTGCCGCTGATATGGCTGGTTTGTCAGGTTTCACAGATACTTTTTTGCGTTTGAGATATTCGTAATGGATTCACGTCTTCATCACAAACCTCCAAAAAAATACGATGATTTTCGGCTGAGAGTTTCTTCATATTAAAGCTATGCAAAAACACTTTTATACGCACACAGTTCGCCATATTTGAGTGAAAAAAAAAATATTGTTGTTTACGCTTCGAATGAGTGATATATACAGAAAAAGACAGGACCAATAGCAAAAATGCAAACTTTTACTAAGGTACAAAGAGTTGATATTGACATAAGGTTGATGTCGATTGACGGTAATCAAAATTTGGTACCTGAGAGTAGATGTCAGTTCAATTTTTGCCTAAAACTTCTGACAACCGCCTATGAAAAACGGATTAATGAAAATTAAGCTTTTTCTCGGCTCTGCTCGGCTTTTACTCCACCGAGTAAACTGTATAATCGATTTGAAGTTCCGCTACCAAATACGATTAATTTTGAATTTGTCCAACTACTTGAATTGTAGTTCGATGGCATTTGAATTAAGACTAACGGAGCGTCTTAAAGAACTTCAACCAATGTCTTGATTATAAGATGTTCATTCGAAAAAAAAACACTGATTTGGCAGTTTTTTGGTCTCTGGAATATTTTGTCTACCCATATTTAGTTGATAATTACGATAATTCGCTCCTAAAACGTACGGGATTTTCTAGTTAAGCTTACCGTCAAGTGTCGTGTTTTACTTACATATATTGAGTGCGACTTATCCACTAAGTAGAGATGTGTTTTTATTGCCTTCATTTACCAACTTTAATAAAATTTTCCGATAACAGGGATAGGCGGTGATTCATTCTTTTACGACTAAATATTAATGTATAACGGGATTGTTTATTAAGTGGAGATGTTTAATATCTTATTAAATTGTATTTCTTATATTAGTTCATCTCGACGACATCACCATTCAGAGTCCTCAACATCTTTTGTGTTTTTGTCTAACCCCGTTGTCAAAATTTGTGTATTTGTAGCTTTAAATATACCTATCTATGTATACCATATTTTGAGGTTGTTCCCACTAATTTCATAAAAGTCTTTAGATCTGCTATAAAAGATTTAGAAATTCTGTTTCAAGCCAAATTAAATTTTAGCATTGGAATATCGAAGTATTTTTCCCGAAGAATAGAAGTTAAGTTTTATTAAATGGTAATTTATATATTTTTTACTTGCAAAATTTTATGTTTGAAAAAAGTTCACTGAATTTTAAAATGTATAATTTTCATCTTAACCCAAGCCTAATAATAAAGGTTTCGCGAACGCATAAAGCTAATGCATAATTAACGAATTCTGTGTCAACGTTGTTATCATATTTCCTATATTTCAGGCGAAAAAATATTTTAACATTAATATTTTTTACTATAAGTTTTTTCATAATTTTAAAAAATAAAACATATTATACATAAATATTTGTAGAAATTCCAGGTGAGTACTGCAATTCTGGTATATTTCCATCTACATATAACCACACGAGGCTTCACAACAAATTTAAACATACATGTATTCATAGTGATTAGCCCTAAGCAGTATCATGCATGGCACCTTGATTTATTTAGTTTGCATGCAAAACCTCACATGGTTTCTGTTTCACTTCACTTGAACCGCTCAAAACTCTATATTCTAAATATTATACTAAAACTAAAAAGTATTATTTTCATTAAACTTAAAATGTGTAGTCCCACCACGTTGGATACTAAAACCCACCGATCAAGATGCCATACTCGGTAATCTCGTGGCCATAACCTGCAAAGCCGATGGATTTCCAATACCCACCGTGCAATGGAAGCAGTCTATTGGTAAATTACTATGGGACTATTATTCTATTGTAAATTGTTTTATTTTAATAACTTTATGAATGAGTATTCATAATTATGAAGGATGGTTGCTAATATGACATCAAACGATAATTAATATGTATATTTATACCCTGAATAGGGTGTATTAAGTTTTTGCACGAAGTTTTTAAAAAAAATTGGCAAAGGTATAATCTATGAAGCAGTTGTTCAGATCGCATCACCAAAACATTTAGCTGATATTCAAACTGACCGATCAAAATTAAGCGAATGATCTTAAGAAATGTACCTATGGAAGGCAGCCTGTTTTTCTCGTTTTAGATCTCTACACAATAATACTTTTATTGGTTATTTCTTCTTCTGCCGTAGTCGATGTATATATGCAAACCAGTCCAACAGTTATTGAGACACCGATCTGAAATTTTGCACCCTTACATTTCGCACGAAGAAGATGCTGATATTGGAATAATAGGGTACACAATACTGAAACTTCAGTAAGAATGCTTTTATATGACCATATTATACAAGAGAGTTGTTGTTTGCCCTTTACCAATTTTCTCTTAGTACGTTTCTTAACGTCGTGTTAAATATTTTAATTTCATCTTTACTTAAAATTCTCTGACTTCCTGATAGTCAGGTCATATGACTTCGGTTATACCGTCTACTTACGTCTGCAAAAACGCCTAAGCACAACGCCCTGCTAATGGGGAATTCTACGAACTCGTTGTCTTTACCTACTTCTATCAATTTCCTTTACCCTCTTTATCTCCACAGAACGTATTTAAAAAACGGATTCGGGGTTTTGTTTTTGATCTTTTTATACTCTTGCAATATGCTGCTGCAGAGTATAAAAGTTTTTTTTCACCTAACGGTTGTTTGTATCACCTAAAACTAATCAAGATGGATCAAGGGTTAAATATATACCTATATATAAATGATTCGGATGACAAGTTAATCCGGATGTCTGTCTGTCTGTCCGTCCGTCAGCCTGTGCAAGCTTTAACTTGTGTAAAAATTGAGTTATCGTAATGAAACTTGGTTCACGTTATCCTCGACAAAAAAAAAGAGCACGAGTTCGTAGATGGCAGTAATCGGACCACTGCCACGTCCACAAATCCCCATTGAACGAATATTTATAAAGTGCCATAACTAAGCACTTAATTAAGATAAAGAACTGCCAATTGGCACAAGGGATCGCAGTGGCAAGGGGTACATGTGAGCAACAATTGTGAAAAAATGGGCGTGGCCCCGCCCTCTAAAAGGTTCAATGTACATACATCTCAAACAATTCAAGCTAAAATAACCAAATTCGCTTATAATAAATCCATTAAGCACTCCTACCGGCACTGTAAAAATGGATGTAATCTGATGATAGCCCCTCCCACTCTCCACATAACATTGTTGTTAAAAACTACTTCAAGTGCGATAAATCAACAACTAAATACACCAGAGACATTAAATTTTACCACCAAGCCTTTATAGGAGTCGGAGTCAAAATTATACTATGGACGGGGCACCGCCCTGTATTAGGTGAAATCACATATCTCGAGACCTGCTAAACCGATTTTTACCAATTCGATATATAACATTCTAAATAACATGCGAAAATGGGCTGAATCGGACTACAACCACGCCTACTGCACAATAAACAAATAACACAATTTTAAATTCCATCTGATTCTTTCACTTTCCAGTATGCAAATCAAGCATCAATGGATGTATCGAGATAAAACTTAGCTTTTGCTTACTTGTTTAATATAAAGTTTTGACAGCACATGAAGGAATTTCCCAGACTTTGATTCTTGCAAGTTGCAGTAGTATAAAATGTTCGGTTACACCCGAGCTTAGCCCTTCCTTACTTATTATTATTAAGGATTCGATATAAATACATATTGATATTATCCTAATAAAGTAATGTTGGGATATATATTCACCATGAATGTGTTCTCTTCCCATACATTTCACTTTACACAACACTTTAATATTATTTTCACATCTCTTTTTTAACCCTAGGTGAGTCAGGTGAATATCGCGAGCTCAGTTATGGCATTGGTAACGGTAACTCGCAATCCGTTATCGAAACATACAACAACGGTTCGCTGATCATACCAAAAGTTGGGCGTGAGCATGAAGGCAGCTATTTGTGCCAAGCGAGTAATGGCATTGGCGCGGGACTGAGTACACTAATCAAATTAACTGTGCATGGTGGGTGTGATCTCACTATATTTATGATATTTACTAATCACTCTCTTTACAGTTGGTCCTTCTGTAACCGTTTCCAAGAAACAAGTTTCCGTCCGCCGTGGTGACCGTGTCACATTGCGGTGCGAAGCTGATGGCGATCAACCGCTGAATATAACATGGCGCGCCAAGGCAAATCACATTGATCCATCCTATGATATACGTTACCATATCAAAGATTCACCGTTAAGTCGAGGCACCGTCTCAGAAATGACGATACTACAGACCATACTTAATGATCGGGGTGAATATACGTGCATTGCTACCAACAACTACGGACACGATCGCGCAGTAATTCACCTGCAAGTGCAGGAGCCACCAAATTTTCCCGTCAATTTGCATGTCACTGATTTAGGTAGCCGCTCGGTAACGCTGGCTTGGTCGCCAAATGATCAAGATTCGATTTTCATGAATAACGGGGGTAATAATCGCGACTCGCAACCGATATCGAACTACATTTTGCAGTATAAGAAAGCAGGCGGTATTTAAATAACTATTTTCCTAAGCAAACCGTGTCGTATTAAACATTATTTATATTTCAGATGTCTGGCATGAGCATAATAACCAAAAATTGTTGCCCGGCGATAAAACCACCGCACAAATTGGGTCACTACGTCCAGCGCAGGCATACCACTTTCGTCTTTACGCCGAAAATCATCTGGGCACCAGCGCCCCAAGCGATATATTGCTCGTGCAAACCGATGCTGAGGTGCCAAGTGGTCGTCCGCAAGATGTTTCTGCAGAGCCATTAGGCCCTCAGCAATTACTCATCACTTGGCGTCCACCAGAACGAGACACATGGAATGGTGAACTCTTGGGTTATACAATCGCATACCAAAAACACGGTGCGCCAGATAGCGTACAAAACTTCACTAAAGTTAGCAGCCTAGGCGGTGAAGGTCTTAATGATTTTCGTCTCACTGGGTTGGAAAAATACACACAGTATGCCATATCTGTGTCTGCATTCAATGTGAAAGGTGATGGACCTCCAAGCGAGGTGACCATGGGTCATACCTTGGAGGATGTGCCCTCTGCGCCGCCACAGGGTGTCACTTGCATTGCGCTGACTGCACAAAATATACAGATTTCCTGGCAGGCGCCACCAAAAGAATCTAATCATGGAATCATACAGGGCTACAAACTACTCTACGAACCCGGCAATATCGAATCAGAGTATGGGACACGTGAAACAAAGATTACCTCAGCATTGAGTACGGTGCTACATGGTCTACAGCCTTTCACAAACTACAGCGTGCAGGTTTTAGCATTTACACGTGCCGGCGAAGGCGTGCTCAGCCCGACTGTGTCGTGTACCACGGAAGAGGCGGTGCCAGATGCGCCGGAACGTGTTAAGTCTGTCGTAAGTAGTGAATCCTCAGTTATCATTAGCTGGTTACCACCGCGACGTCCCAATGGTATAGTTACCAAGTACAATGTCTACATCCGTATACTGGATAAGGGGCAAGAGTTGAAAATTCTCAAAGAAGTGTTGCCCGCAAACAATCGTCACTTTGAAGCTAAAGACCTAATGGTGCGCGAAACTTATGAGGCTTGGGTAACAGCTTCGACACGTGTGGGACAAGGCCCGAGCACACCGGTGATCAAATTAATACCGAGTCCTTCTGTGCCCGCAGCCATCATATCATTTAGTCAAACGTTAAGTGTCAGTTGGCGAGTTGATCTCAAATTAGCATGCGTCTTCGTTGGTAACCCGAAACCGAATTCGGAATGGAAAGTGTTAAATGCACGTTCCAAGAAACATTTTCGCTTGGAGGTGAGCAATGACAATACGCTGACACTGCGCAACATACAGCGTACTCACGAAGGGAACTATTCTTGTGTGGTACGAAATTCGATTGGCTCCGATCACATTGTCTATCAGGTATACGTACAAGGTGAGTGGATAATTAGTAGTAAGGATTGTCGGTAAAAGTATGGTATTTTCTGGGGAGGTTATTGTATTTTTTTTGGAGGCTGCTAAACAATGCTTTCAAGGCTTTTTTACTATTAGAACTCAAAATTACTTTTTTGAAATCTTGTGTGAGACTAGCTGCTTCCGGTTTTTGTTTAATATTGAACTCCAAGCCTTTAAAATAGGGGCATAATACATAACAATTTTTTTAACGACGATGCTTTCTTTCCTCTTAGCTTATTTTAAGGAACATACAAAATTAGCAGTTATTTTTTTTTTTAGAATGGCTTCGAACTTAATTTATGTCATTTAAGGTCTCAATTTATAAAGTCGGTAATTATTATAAACCTATCAGCTCAACTTTAACTGGAGCTTTCAGAACTTAACTAAAGTGATTCCATTATCAAAGGTAAAGGTTTTTGGTAGAAATAATTGAAATTATTGAAAGGAATAAGCTGTTGGTCTTAACTGGGTTTGTGTTTTGTAAATCTTTTCCTGTCTTAGAGCCGTTAAAAAGCTTATGCCTCTTTTAGGCATATTTCCCATGCCATATTTCGGCGCCGTCTCTTATTTCCAAAGTATAACCATTATAATTCCTTACTATTAACCATTATTGCCAAATGATTTCATTTCGTTTCATTTTCATAGTACCACCATCTGCTCCCGTGCTTTCCGTCATCGGCAGTACCACTAACTCCGTGTCGCTGCAGTGGCGAGTGGACGACATTGGCGGCGCACCACTGCGTGGATTTTCTATGACCTTCCGTAAGGAATTCGGCGACTGGGAAGAAATTCAACTGGATCGACGTGTTAACTCTCATTTAATAGAGAATTTGGATTGCGGCACGCGATACCAGTTCAATATGGTGACTTTCAATAAAATTGGAACAAGTGAAACAAGCGCAATCGAAACAGCCAAAACGAAAGGTGGGAACGTAAAGTTTTACTATTTGATTATTAGAAGAAATCGGTGTGACCCCACTTAAGGATTAACTGCAGTTTTTCGTACAGTAAAGAATTAACTTCTGACAGTTCCTTAAGAACAGTTTTATATTTTCAGTGTGATTATTGATACTTAAATTTATATTTTCCAAAATAACCTAAGTAGAAAACCCAAATTTTACCACCGAAGACCGTGATAACGGATGTCACTATCGTAAGAGAAAATCACATACCGGTGGTGCATTCTCGTGAACGACTACTGTCAATTATTTTCACCGGATTGAATTCTCATTTATTTTTTGAACTTGTCTAGAGAAACAAAGATCGGTAAATGCCGTATACGGTAACTTCTCTGCTTCAATAATGATCGTCAATAATAGGTTTAAATAGTTTCCACATTGTATGCACCGTTTCTAGATACCTCGAATAAAACTTGTATAGAGGATAAGGGTACAAAATTCCACGGTTTCGTATTTAACTAACACGGTATCTCAAAAGACCACATGGGTCATATCCTGAAATATTGCATGAGAAAGTGAGACAACGGTAACCGAGATGCCACTTTACAGTAGTACATCCACTGGTACACAACAAGTACCAAGGAATAGTTGAAGCTATGACCTTTACTCACCGAACCTGCTCCAAAAAAGAATAAAAATATTCTATCGGCTAAAAAGGTGATGTCAGCCCCTTTCTGAAATTCATAAGATTCCGCCATCGTCTTGGCCAAATTGATCAAATCACACTATGAACTGCTGTATGGTTCAGCATATGTCTATCTATGTTATATTGTCTACATATGTATATTATATTTGACTTAAAAACTCATAGAATGAAATTAAATTTTGTTGAAAACTAAATCACTGCACTATCAGACAACTATTGTTTTCCTCTTCGAATTGATAACTTAATAGACTCAGAATTTCTTAGATATCCTATAACTTAAAAATTGTTCATAAGCACCAAACCTAAAATCGAGTTTTTCACTCACTATTCGGTTAAAGTCCAACGAGTATTAATATTTAAGTTTTTTGTTATATTTTAACCGAGTATTTCTTGTAGGCAATAAACCGATTGCGCCACATAAGCAAAGCCTGATACGCTCGAATATCACTTCCGCTTTGTTGGAGCTATCCTCATGGCAAGATGGTGGCTGTCCAATACAATACTTCAGCATTGAGTTCAGACGCTATGGTATTTCAAGTGACTGGATCATCGTCTCTAGCCGTATAGAGACACACGTATGTATCTTTTGTGTGGAATATATCTTAGATATCACTATCTTTACTTGCAGACTCGCTTTACAATTGGTGATTTGGAGCCTGGAACTGCATACAATTTGCGCGTGGCGGCACACAATAATGCTGGATCCACAATTAAGGAGTACTACTTTGAGACATTGCATTTCAACGGACTTTCAGCTGAATTGGACCACGGCGACTTACCCGAAGTGCGGACACTCTTTCGCGATGTACATCTCATAGCGGTGATTATCACATCGGTGTTTGGTACGATCTTGGCAATAATCGGCGCTTGCATTTGCTTCAAGAACTGTTAGTATAATGTAAAATATACAAAACAGAAACACATGATTTAATTATGTGAATTACATATCTTATATATTTTCTGTAGATCCACGTCAACTATTTGCACGGAATGTCGACTCGATGCGGCCGCATGGTGCTGATGGCAAGGATGTACAACATCGTGAACAATACTACGGTACGGTACGCAAATCATGCCAGCAATCACCACGTGAATCGGTTGCTGGGCTTGAACGCATACCTGAATACTCTGAAGATATCTATCCTTACGCTACATTCCATTTACCAGAACATGAAAATCAATCGGCTAACATACCACTCAGCCGCAAGGGAGGCCTGCCGGCAATGTATGATCCGCGTGGCGGTAGTGTTGCAGACGACAATACCCTCTCCAGCACGGGTGCCAAGGTGAAGCGTTCGGTATCGGCAGGCATTGGCAGCAGCGCTTCAAATGCGAATTTAGGCGGTGGACAGGGCCCGGCGTCGGGCGAATGTAGTCATACGAATACTGAAAAACGGCATAAACGACGCTCGAAAGCAATCAAATCGGAGTCGGAGGAATACGATAGCTTAAATAGCGATAGCGATTTGAGTGGTGAACGTATGCGTGAACGTGAAGAAAGTCGTAGTGGACGCGAGTCCTCATCACATCTAGACGATAGCGGCTATAATCGTAAGTATACAAAGGATGCTAAAAATACTGATTTAATAAAATCCAAAGATGACTTTCATTCAAACTTTACTTCCATGATATGTTGTCAAACGAAATATAGATCAAAAGTTTTCATAATTTCTACTCATATTTGCAAGTTTAAAGTTTTTTACAATATCACTCGAAAACCGGCATCATTCAAAAATCAGTATATCGGTTATGTTTCTGTGGGTATTTTAAACATTCAAAGATGTCATCAAGTTAGATATTGGTACTTAGGACTTTAAAGCTTGAAACTTGATTTCTTGTAGAAAATGGGCCAATCTGTTTGACAATATCTAAGAAGATATTCTCAAAACCCACAATCAAGCGAACTTAATATTCGCATAGTTGAGCTCTGTACGGCTCTTTCCTTATTTCTAGAAAAATCTAATCATTTTACTGACTATAAGTAAAAGTCACACTTGCAATCACGATATTGACCGAAATATCCGAAATAAATATATAATACATATTTGACGACTAACAAATTTACTTTTTATTTATTAAAACTTCGAGTACAAAATTAATGCGCGCTTACATCATATTATCTTAAATTTCGTAAGCAAGAAATACCGAATAGATATACAGAATTTTTTGAAGAATATTCTCTCAGTAACCAGGCTCACCAACTCATGCTCATCATTAATTCTTAATCCCAGTTTCGACACCGCCTTTAAGATACCGCAGAGACATTGGATGGTTTTTGGGCGGATTGCGTTCCTACAAGTTTTCAATTACCCGAGGAGTTCTTAATCAGATTTCGCTTGACATTGTTGTAAGTGACCCACTTTTTATCACCAGTAACCATACGCTTCAGAAACGAACTGGTTTTGCTGTCTTTCAGCAGCGATACATAGATCGGTGGCGTACTTTCTCTTCTCTGGTGTTCATCTAAGTCAAGCCATCACAAAACCGTCTTTATGATCTTTTTTTTAGTACGAAATCTTAGATTTCAAGCGCCTTATAGCGTAACCCGCGTTACTCAAGCCATATATTAAAAAAATAATGGATTTATTTATACTAGACCATATAATATTGTATAACTTGAGTACAATTATCTAATTACAAATATAAATATTTTTCTCACTACTTACAGCGCACGGTCATAGTCCTTGCAGTGGTGGTAATTCCGGAAGCAACAAGGAGCGTCTTTCAGTATTCAGTAGGCCTCAACTTCATAGTAAGTTAGTACCTATTTTAACTAATTAACACATTTTGAGATTTTGCAAGCATTACAAATACTCGTACTAACCCCCTCACCGACCTGTAGTACAACCACCATGGCCAACGTCAGCAAAATCATCAAACCACCACCACCACAACCCATTTTAATTACTAACCACTTTTGCGCGCATTAAACACGTCAAACACCAAACTTAGCACACCCTAACACTTACTAACACTCAAGCAAAAAGTTATAACACAACAACCGTTAGACAAGTTTGTGTCTAACAGTTCTTTCTTTAAGTAATTTTGCATAAATATATCTACGTATATGAAAAAATATATATGTATGTTCAGAAAATATTTTGCCGATTCACAAGAAAGACTCCAAGAAAGAGAACTCACGCACTTCTAAATCACCGAAACCTTCAACGAACACAGCAACAACAACTGCTGCGCCAACTGCACTCAAATCCACACGCACCTTTTTTCAAGCCATAATACCCACACGCATCATATCCACCGCCCTGCATGCACCCGAACGTCAAGCACCTCCCCCAAACCCTTCCGCCCACTCACAGTACGTGCAAACACCCATCACAGCCAAGCAGTGCAGTTCACTGGCAGCCGCAGCAGCAGCAGCCGCCGCAGCCAAAGCGGGTAATAAAAAGTCGAAGTTGCATGGTCAGGCCGCACAACCCCATCAGCTGCATCAAATGTTGCCACAACGTCCATCAGTTACGTCACCCGCACAGTTGCAACTGCAGCAACAGCAGCAGCAGCAACAACAACAACGTCAACCGCAAACACGCAGCAATGCACAGCTGGTCAGCGCTACGCCGGCCGCACGCCCATTATCACCATCGCCGCCATATCGTTTCGCTTCGTCCACATCATCAACATCGACTTCATCCAAACTTGAGCGTGTGGCCAACATCAATGCTAATATTGCAACAACATCAACACCCCCAATCACCAACATTTCGAGCAACAACCACGAGACAATCATTTGCAGCAATTCATCATCACGTACAAGTCCCCAAGCATTGGTTAGCACCATCACCACCACCACCAACAACACATCCAATAATACCCCAACAACTACCCATGTCATCAACAACAGCGCGAAGCCGCCGAATTCGCGTAGCGGCAGTAGTAGTAGCGATAGCATCGGATATCACAAGCGCTCCCTTTCCAATAGGCAAGCCATTAGTGTTGTAGTCGATGTGTTTTCCAACACTGAATACTTTTAAACTCTAAAATGCACTCGCCTACACACAAACATATATTCCGCACATATTCATGAATGTTAATCGCTTAGTTCAAATATTCTATTACTTTCAATGTTCAGTTTATATACGAGTATTTATGTTAAATTAATCTGATCCACTAACCCTTCATATGCATTGTGCTCAGCGCTTCTCTTGAAGTTCATTACCATATACGGTATAGCCTTATGCCCTAGCGAGTTTGACTGAGGTCGAATCACGCTATTTTTTAGAAAGAAGTAACTCATTCTCCACGACTCGGATAAAATAAAAATGAATTACATTCTCATGGAATCGCCGCTTGGTTTGAGAATAACGTCCGTTGAAAGTTGTAGCATTTAGAGGTCACATCCCTTCAACTTAAGGCTTCCGCAAAATCGAATATAATATACCATAGTTGATCCGCTCAGGACTTCTGTATTTAAGTTGTGATCCACCTAGATAAATACATTTCGATATACAATATAATATATTTTTTATTGCCAAACTCAAAGGGGAGATTAAAACTAGGAAATTAAGGACAGCGACCATTAATTAGTTCACCTTTAAAAAAAACACAGAACATACAAATTTAATGGGGAATGTTTGTTTTCAGTCAAATGAACGTTCTTTGGTATTTAGTTTTTGAAGATTATCTTGTTTAAATGTGGGCCGCGGCTACGTCTCAGATGGTCCAACCGTTGAGTTCCCTTTTCGTAGACTCATTCGAGCATTTCGACTGGTAACTGGCGAATGACACGCGTGATTTTTTGTCCAAGGCCTAAATCGAAGCCGAATTGTTCGCATAGACTTTAGACTTTACATATCCCCGCAAAAAAAAGTATAACGGTGTGATATTAATCTTGGTGGCCAATCGAGCGGCCCAAAACGTGAAATTATCTGCTCACCGAAGTGTTCTCTAAATAAATACATTGATTTATGCGATGTGTAGGAAATGGCGCCGTCTTGTTGAAACCAAATGTCACGAGCTTCAATTTCATGCATCAAATAATCGGATATCATGGCGCGATAAAAGTCGCCATTGACGGTTACGTTCTCACCGGCATCAGTTTTGAAGAAATATCAAATGGCAGCTCTTGAATCCCTCAGGTTGCTCTTCGTCCCAAAGGCGGCAATTTTGTTTGTTTACATACCCATTGACCCAAAAATAAAAGTCATCGCTGAACAAAATTTGGCTCGAAAACGTCGGATCTTCTTGGAACTTTTCAATAGCCCATAGAGCTAAGCGATGTCGCTTGGGAAAGTCGAGCGGCATTCGTTCTTGCACAAGCGGTATTTTGTACATTATCAATTTAAGGTATCGTCGTAAAATGCGCCAAGTCGTTCCACACGTCAGTCCGAATTACTGCGAACGGCGCCGAAGAATGAAATACGAAACACATAACGATTTGTAAACGTTGTTCAAGCGTAAGTCTTTCCATGATGCAATGCATAACAATACTCAACAAAAATAAAATGACAAAAATAACTTGACGCGACTCACGCGTAATCTTTTAAAAAAGGCCATTTGAAAAAGTACCTCTAACTGAATCACCCGTTATAACAAACGTACAAGGTATGGAATACCAAATGCGTTAATTCAATTCCTGTTCATTTTTCCTGTCTTATACATACTCTGGTAAAATTCGTTCACTTAGATACGGATAGAGACTGAACTTTCAAATTATTATTAAAAAAAAATTCAGTAAATGAGATTGTTAAACTCTAAGACAAACATTCATAATTTACAAACAGCCCTTTATCTACAGTTTGGAAAGTAATATTGGCTGCCTTAACCATATAATAGGTAGTTTATATATGCTTATACTCGTAGTTAATGATGTTTGAATTAACATATATATTATGAGTTCTCTTTGTCGATAGTTTCGCTCAATTACAATTTTGGGAAGCGTTTGACAAAAAATACATTAGTTTATAACATCACGAACGAAAGAAAAGGAAGGCAATTACTGCGAAATTTTGCCAGCTCAAACCTTTCAGTCTACCTGACGCCAATGAGATGTGCAATAAAAACAACTAAAATAAGTTAGTTTAGTCAAAACGCCAAGTTCACTTCACACACACCTGAAGCCAACATTTATATATTTCGACAACAAGGAGTTAGATCCCTTAAGTAGTAAGCTACATATGTAAATGATCTACTATGATAATTTTTCGGAGAAGATAAATATATGTACTAGCCTTGTTAGTCGTATTATTTTATATGAATATTCTTTTTGAAGTAATAATAGTAATTTTTGGCTATTAGCAGCAGCGGCACCTATCGTCCTATAGTTCAAGTCCCAAAGATCCGCAGATCACATTTTCAGGAATGTCATGGCATCTACCCACCTATCGTTAAAAACTCAAAGATCTAGAAACATTATTTCAACAGATTTCTTACGAATGTCATAGTTTTCCCCTTACGAAGACTGTAATTTCATTCTTGGCTACTTACATTCGAAACTGAGCTCATAGTCCTGGCGGTCTTTCATAGGATATTTCAGTCGAAGTGTACCACCAATAAATTCTAGTACTAAACTGCTTATGTTATTTAAACTCACTTACCTGCATGCTCTCCCGCATTCATTTGCATGTTTTACGAAATACTAATCAGCACACTTTTAATAATCACCAAAGCTTTAGTTCCTAATTGTTATAACGCCTGCCGCTAACTCATATTGATGCAGCTAATCGTATATGTTCATTGTCTTCAACAGCAGCATGGACCCCGTGCCCTTCGACTACAGGCTCTTTGACCCGCCACCAAAACAACCGAAACCAACAATTGCCTGTGGTGCACAATCACAATCGCATCACCATCACCAGCGACAAACATCATCCACATCAACATCCACATCAGCATCCACATCCACATCTGCCCAAAATTCAACCAACCATACAAATATGCCCAGCGGTCTATCCGGTGGCAAAGTACGATCAAAAGCTACCGATACTAATTCCAACAGCGGCAGTAACCTCCTCCTCGCCGGCGAGTTCCAATGTACAACTAACAGCATCCCCGCCCCGCATATTGTCCAGTCGGGTTCATATGTCGAAATTCTGAAGCATGCCGCACCACAACCCCCCCACAATCAACCAAACAACCAACAAACAGCCATGCAAGCGCCAAACGCAAAACGCCCAAGCGGCGTTGGCGCTGGCCTTGGCACAAATAACGGTAGTAATAATGTTGTCAGCGGTGCAGCATTGGCTTGTCACAACAAGAGCTATGGTGACTTTCTAACAATTACACCACGCCGTAAAGGAAAACTGCTTTCATCCGGCTATGGTGATAAACACGGTGGCGCTGGTAGTGGTGCTGGTGCCTTGGATGGCAGCAACCAAGACAATTATCGCCATCATTTGCCCACCAGCATCGAACCATTACATCTGCTCGGCATACCCAATGACAATATGTCTACATTCTTTGACTATCGCGCCATGGAGACGCTCAGCAATAGCGATACGCTCGCAATTGGCAGCAGTCTCTCAGGGCATGCACACAACAATAGAGGCAACAAAGCATACGACACGAGCACCACTTGTTTGAATGCAAACAATTATGGTGAGTCCCCACAGAGCAATAGCAATTCAGGCATACCTGATGAATTCCATAATATAATTAGCGAGAAGAATCTGAGTCCACCTTCGGCCTTCAGCGACAACAACAGCTGTCTGCCAAAGGGTAAGGTCTAAAGTTTAAAGTCTGGTAGCAGCACATCAAGGAAGATCATATCAAAATTGTGGAATTTACGTCATAATTAACCTAAAAGAACTGAAGAATTCTGCATATCAAGAACGCGAATCTCGGTTATACTAGAATTACTTCATACATATGTATTTATCAGAAAACGAAATAGCAAGAAAACATAAAAAAGAAAATTATTATTGGTTTAGGGGTAACAAACGAGCGAAACGAAGATGCAACCAAAGACTTTACTGCAGCATTTAATCACAAGCGACAAATATAAGGTAAAAACACATTTAATATTAAGGGAGTGGCGTGTTCTTAAGTTCACCGAAATTAACAAAAAGCAAATCTGCCAAGAATTATCGCTTTTGTATATTGCAAAAGCCACAAGCCACAAGGCTCTACACATCTCCAAAAAAACATACGTTTAGATATGTGTTACGTTTGTATGTATTATATGCTAATCTATGTAAATTTATTAAATTGTAGTACTTCTGATGAATGGTGCATAGTTAAATGAATTAGAGGTAGAACTTTCAATTCGTTCGCAGCTGAGTGCTTGAAACCGTTAACTTGAACAGATAAATTAGTGATAGTTCGAATTATTTATGCAGGTAATCGAAAGCGCTAACGATCAGATATATTTTAGAGCCGTATCCACGTATGTTGTTATAGCACAACGTATGCTAGGAATATAATAATATTTATTAGCATGTTATGTCCAAAAGAGGCCGTTTAATCTAATTTTCTACTACTTTTTAAACTGATTGAAAGTTGGGTTTCCAAGCATTGAAGGTTTTGGTCCGCAATTTTGCTTCCTAAATAAACCGAAATTATATTCAACTTTGAGGCTACCGAGGCGCTAGAGACAGAAAAGGTCCAGATTAATTTCATTACCATCTCTTGTATCTTTAAACCTATACTCCCCTCGGTTTTATCTCGGTGTGATGTTAATAAATTGGAGCAATATTTCCTTCATAATAATATGCTATTGACAACAAAATATAAGACTCTTTGTTCATGAAAGTCACCCTTGTTAAGAGCATTGAGGCTTCGGGCATATTTCTTCTTATTTCGATAATGTACTGTAAACGAATTAAGAAAAGTTTTTGTGGCAAATCCAAGAAATTTTATGTGGTATAGTATGTCTTAGATTAGTTACAACGTTATCAATTCAGAATTGGAGTATTCCGATCGCAAGCTGCATGTAGCTTGATATATGTACTTTCTTGAATTGCACGCTGATCCTAAAAAGTAGGTCACGTCACTTCGGAGTCTATTAGGTCCTTGGTTAGAGCATTAAACAAGTGACAGACCTTTTTCCTAAAAAATACCGAGGTATTTTAAGGGTAGTTGCCCTGTGATGACCTCTACAATTTTACTAAGTTGCATTTTGCCTAGAAGTGAAATATTTCTGGTCTGTCCACCCCAAAGTCACTTTGTTGTTGTTTGTGTTCCAAGACCTAAGGTGTTCCTCTAGGGTCCAGTGCTTTAAACAACCCTTTAAGAAGCTGAATGATCTTACTGAGAGTCTAGTTATTGACTGCTTGCATAACCTAAAGCAGTGAAACTTAGTATTGGCGCTACGGATAGCCTTAATTGCTATTTGGCTATCCACTAGAATGTTTATGAACTTGCTGCTTAGAGCGGAAGCCCACTTATCACCTCCTGTTACGCATTTCGGGGTGAAAGACTAAATTGTGGTCATTTAGCTTGAAGATACTTTCTATGTTTGGATTACTACAGATGAAGTCCGCTCGTGTTCGTTGTGTTTTCTCATGGATCTCCTTTTCTCGGTCGCATTGCCAATTGAGGCCGAGTTTTTTTTTTATCAAGGTCGAGTATGATATCTTGCCCGTATTGATGCCGAGTCTGGCTCCAATGGCCTAACATTATAAGCTAGCTGGCCGAAAGTATTGTCCTGTCTTACTATAAAAATATTTTAAATATTGCTTTTGTTACAGAAGTGATTAGTTATTTTGGCGAATAGTTAAATATACTAGCTTGATTTAACAACGATTGAAAAATAGAACATTGTATGATTATTTAAATTCCTTGTATGATTTCTGAAATAAAAAGTTTAGCTGGTTTATTTGAAATTTGTTTTCTAAAATTAATAACAAATTAATTATTTACCAATTGATTACGTTTTTAGTTAATTCATGGAATTTACTTAAATTTTAACAACTCGTGGTGAGGAACGATTAAAAATAAAAACAGAATTGTGTAGAAGAGATCAAAGGACACTGCATTAGATTAGTTGATTATTATATATACATATTTATAAGCCTAAGCAACACACTGTTAATTAGTTAAATCTATAAATGAAGTATTTAATTATCATAAATATAAACGAACCAAAAATTCTTTTTTTTTAATATTGTGTACATATATACTATAACGAAATCAAGTATTTAAAAGCATTTAACTATATGCATTTAAAACTCAAATAACAAACCAAAAAAAAACAAATATCAATATTACAAACTGAACATACTGACAAGTTACATAGTTATCTTACCGAGTGTATGTGTGTACATATAAAAAAATAAACGTTATAACCGTTCATTGTAGTTAATAAGGTAAAGAAGTCAATAAATTATAAACAAATATTATTAATATTTATAACGGTGCAAACCCCTGCAAGGCAAGAGACAGCAAAATTAGACAGTTTGGTGGCAGCAAAAACCGGCAATTTGCGATTAACCCTCGATATCAATTTTAAAACGTCAATTTTTTTACGAAATTTACAAACCTTTGAACTAACTATGTATTTAAGCAGAAATTAAACATTTAGGCGACACAAATTTTGGAAAAACAAAAATAAAAGATTTTAAAGAACTTATTACAACGCGCATACAATGTATTTGCGTGAAATTATAAGTTTGAAAAAAATATTAAGAAAATGTTAACATTAAACGAAGATTATAAATATAATAAAAGAAAATCAGCAAGCAGAAAAAACAAGAAATAAATTTAATAAGAACACAAAACCGTAAATTACAAAAATTAATTGAATAAAATAAATTTAATGAAATTGTGCGTCATTTGTATTTCCAAAAATATTTAGATTTATATAAAATTAACCAAAAATCATATGACATATACATATACACACACACACACATACAATTTAGCACTAAAAACTACGATTGTGAAACAAAAAAGAAACATTTTTACCAATTACATAAGGTATCTTTTGATGGAAGCTCAATTATTTTGGCATTTGTTCGTCGTGTGTATTTCCGAAAACTAAAACAGTAAGCATTTCTAGACCATAAGTCCAACATGCCACAAAAACCAACAAGCTGTAACAATAAATATAAAATAAAAGCTCATAGTTGTAGTATCTAATACATGAACTAATTGAAATTTCAAAAAAAAAACAATAATGATAAGAATTCAATAAAGATTGATAAAGTTCCGGTTTGGATACTTTTAAAAGTAATTAATCCTAACTAAACAACATTTTTATTCCAGTCACAAAAGTACCACTGAGGCTAAATAACGGTAAGCTAAGTTATACTAAAATGTCTTTGAATCGGTGAAATTCTTTCACTGAGCTTAAAAAAATTCCTCACCTCTTGTACGATGCCGAATATCCCCTGATGTATAGGGAAGAGACAATTCTTGCGCTTGAACATATGAGGGCGAAAAGTGAAGAGCAGATAAATTTTTTGAATCTAGGTTTGGATCCCAGTGGTTTTCGTCATTTCGAAACGAGGTTGTTGTTGTTTCATTTACAGTTGTTAAAGTTGTTGCCGAGTAACGTCGTAAATTTAGCCTTTGAATACGACATCTCCTTGAAGCAGACCTTCCTTTCTTTGTAAGAAAAGTATTAAGTTGCATGGTTAACGATACTTCCAGAAATTAACCGTTTAAGTGTTTCAATTTGTGCTAATCTTTTTTCATTTGAGGTCAAAGACTAGGGGAAAAATAACGTATGACTCGTTATAATGAAGCATGTGTTATATCGGTTATTGGACAATATCACTGCTTTTTAAAATACCTAAACCAAAATATATGCCACTATTCTGGATAGATAACCTCGCCGAAGAAGAAGAAGTTTGCTTGACAGCATAGCTGCGGACCCTAAATTCATCAAACGCTCCATTACTGGTGAGGAGACGTGCGTTTATGAATATGACATCGAAAGTTTTCAACAACCTAGCGAATGATGCTGAAAAATGCAAAAAAATTAACGCGATGCTCATCGTTTTATTAGCTTACTGTGGTGTGGTTCCCATGAATTCGTTCCACACGGTCAAACGGTCAATCAGAAATACTACTTGCACGTTTTGAGTCGTTGAACTAAATCGCTTCGGGGAACCTTCCATGAGTCCACTGAAGCCATTAAAAGGCATTCACTGAAGGCACTCAAGGCCAACAATTGTATGAAAATTGGACTAAGCGTTGTCATGCTTGTACTAGCACAGTAGCCTATTTTTAAAGCGATAATACAGGTTTATATTTAAATATGTTAAAATAAAGATTTTTTTGGCAGCCCTAGTCAAATTTTATTAGATGGTATACGAAAAAGTACTCTTAACTGAAACAGGCTACTTTGTATAGAACTGAATATTGCTGTCTTCAGCATCAAGTCAATAGCTGGTAAGTTTGAGAAATATTCGAAAATTTTTCATAAGAAATTCGTATTTTACTTTGAATTAAAAGTTCAGAATAATCGTTATATACGAGCTGTTGTCTAGTTTCCATTTAATTGTGCATCTCTGTACTAGTCTTAATTTCACACTTGTATAATCCACGTTTCAGCCACATTATATTCCATCTGATCCTTTCACTTTCCAGTACACAAATCAAGCACCAATGAATATATCGGGATACAATTCTGAATAAAGAGTGCCTTTAATTTGATCAGATACCGAAAACGTACCCCCTGTGCCTGTTGCTAACTTTTGACCGAAAATATCGGTAAAAATCTGAAAAATTCAAAGAAATTTTTTTCCTATCTGTGTGTCAAAAATGGGGTTAAATCGGGTCAATACTTCTCTTAGTCTCATATGTGTGCCTAACGTAAGATTTTCGAACTGACTTTTTACCGCATATATCGGTCAATATCTAAATTATCTTGATAAAATTAAGTGAGCGTGTTTTCCTAATTACGGTGTACCTTTGTGTCTAAAATGGTTAAAATTGGGTGAAAACTGGCCCTACCAACCATATTGCTAACATCAGGACTTTCAAACATCCGATTGACTTTACTTCTTATACATATATTGTATTGGTGGTGGTGTGTGTGAGGTACTTTGATGACACTCAGAGAGCATCTTTTTCTACAAATGATATGTACTAAAGCGATAAATAGGTGAAATCAGATCAATGCTACACCTACAACAGATATCGGCCAATATGTCAGATATCATAACAAACTTAACTGAACGTATAATATTTGATTTACTATAGTTTAACACCGAAAATATGTTAAAGTATATTATACTACAAATAGTGAATAATATAAAGTTATATCTTGGCAAGTTGCCAGAGTATAAAACGTAGAACTTAGCCCTTCCTTACTTGTAGTTATCAGAGCTGGTCGTTTGCAGGGAAAGAAAAGAATTTAGAAAAATGTTGTTGGCATATAAATACGGCATAACGTTAGCATTTAACTTAACACTCTCTAATTATATGTTATACACTCGTTTAACATATAAGCTTCCCACACATATTGTGTCTATATTAAAGACGAACGATGATGATAAAAGAACCGCATGTCTCTTCGCGAGTTTAAACAACGATGTTCTAAGGTTTGAATGTTCATGATCAGATTGGAATATGAATATTTATATACGTATGTAAATATATGCATATTTGTATATGCTTATATAAAAGTAATTATATATAAATATATAAATTCTTGTTGCCTACAAATTTTCGATTCTGCATGGATACATACCTATCAAGCTCCATGCTACAGTTCAAGCTAAAACAATGTGTTGTACTGTTATACAGCTTGTGTTATTGTGAATAAATTCATTTCACACATTCTTTTCGAGGTGTATAAAGCTTTTCCGCATGAAAGCTTTAAAGCTTGTATGCGAACTTCCGGTAACTGTTATTTAAACCAAGCTCTCAAACTGTTTACGATAACTTACAGTGCTATCTAATCGACGATATGCTTCTAACGGGTGTATAGGCATTATTTCAACTTAGTTTAGGAACTTGAACATAAAACAAGTAAGGAAGGGCTAAGTTTGGGTGTAACCAAATATTTTATACTCTCGCAACTTGCAGGGATCAAAGTCGACTAAATACATTCAGGTGTTGACAATTTAAATAAATGTAACGAAAAGGTTCAACTTCGTTTGAAGATTATATACTCACTTAGTTTTATTGTTATATTTTACTTCTCGTCAACAAAAACTATCCTAAAATAATCCTCAACTGAGATATATGTGAAATGAACTCCACCGAAAACGCTAAATCTAGTATATTGAGTTAATGTGAAAAACATCAACCAAAGGATCGAAATTAGTCATATTAGAGATATAAAGTTTAGACCAAGACCAATTTCATTTATATTGAGCGACGAACCATAAACATAACTTTATAATTTTTAAGAAAACGTGTTCACTTACAATAATTTCATTAAAGTTTCAAACATTTTGACCAACCTAAAGCAAAGAAATGGAAGAGTTAATTGCAAAAACTTTTGATGTTACCCGGGTATACTCGAGAATATATTTGTAAATAATTTTATAAATTTACACATATATTGTATATGGAGTAAAATTAGATGGATATTTCAAAATCTTGAAAATTAGTTATACAAGGTGCTTTCCAAAGTAAACCGGAATTAAAAAAAAGAGACAGAACAAATGGTTTTATCGGCAAAATCAATTAATTTTATTCAAAATAGTCTTCTTCTGCTTTAATACAGGCTTTTGCACGGTCTAAAAGCATGTCGAACGAGTATTTTAGCTCGTTGCCCGGTATGGCTGCCAGTATGCAGGTGTAAGCCTTTTGAATGGCCTATACGTCTGCATAACGCTTTCCTTTCATCAGCAAATGCATTTTTCCGAAAAGGTAGAAGTCGCACGGTGCCATATCAGGTGAATACGGGGAGTGGTTGATTGTTAAAATTAGATTTTTGGTCAAATAATCGGCCACAAGCGTCGATCGATGAGATTATCGTTCAACAAACGCCAACTTCCATTTTCGCGATATACGGGCCGAACACGTCGAATACGGCGCATCAACCGCTTCAAAACTCCAAGGTAGAATACCGCATTAACGTTTTGGCCGAGTGGAAGAAATTCTTTGTGGAAAATACCCTTGGAATCATAAAAACAAATCAGCAGTGTCTTCACTTTTGACTTCTTCAGGCCCTATTTTTTGGGTCCAGCGCCTTGCATTCAGCACTCTGGCGTTTCGTTTCGAGATCATATTGAAAACACCACGTTTCGTCACTAGTCACAATCTTGTAAAGGAAGTTCAGGTCTTTTTTTTGCCTCTTTAATGATGTCCTTCGAATGTTCAATTCTGAGCAATTTTTGGTCGTCAGTCAATTTGTGCCGAACAAATCGTGCACACACCTTTTGTAAGCCCAAATGTTCGGTCAAAATGCGATAAATCGATGTTTTGGAGATGTTCAATTCTATTTCATCAATTGAAACGTTTCGGTAAAAGTTTTACCAATTTTAAAACAAAATTTATTGCTGGCTCTTTGTTCGAAGCTAATTTTCGCACCGATGACAAAAACATACTGACACTTAAAACGCAATAACTTTACTTCCAATAGATGAAATGTCATGAAATTTTTACTGGAAGTCGATAAAGGATATCAGATTCTAACGCACTAGAGTTTACTTTATTACTTTTTTACTGTTTACTTTGGAACGCACCTTGTATGGGGGCTAAAGCAAGTTTACCCCCGATTTTATCCTTTATCCTGACAATTTGTATTTAGTCAGAAAGATAAGCTGTTACTAAAAACTGCGCTCTCTCAGTTTCATTAAAATAACTCCCACATTGGCCGATATTTATGAGGTATATGGCTAAGTGAAGTATTGACCCGGTTCAATCCACAGGGGTATATTATTATCACAGGAACGTTTTCTTCGTATTTAAATAACATATCTCACAGATTGACAAATATTTTCGACAAATAGTCAATCATACGCACTGGCCCGATTTTGACAATTACACGCAAGATGGCATACCACAAACTATATATGCAAAGTTTTATCCGAATATATTCATTGGTGCTTGATTTGTGTACTAAGCAATAATTTAAAAAATCAGATGAAATTTAAAATTGTGCTATAAATAGGCGTGGTTATAGTCCGATAATTTCTATTTTCACAATGTGACATCGTTAAGATAATGTAGGTCCAGAGATATGTGATTTTATTTAAATGTAGGCGATGCCACGCCCACTGTCCAGTTTTGACACCTACTCCTACAAAGCCTTCTTGTGTCACTACGATTATAAAATTTA